CAGTGGGGGAAATCAAATGGTCTTGTCCTGTCCCTTGGGATATTCCTCCCGGTCTTGAGACACCCCCCCCCCAAAAAAATAGCATTCCCTGAGACTTCAGCAGGCACCAAACCCAGCAGGAAGTCTCCGGGTTTTTAAAAGAAGACTTTTCCATTCTTGTGTGGACCTACCTAGGAGCAAAGCTTCTGCAGTCAAACGAACGTACAACGTACCTATACTAGAGTTGTGCCACAACTACGCATCGGATACCATTGAAACATGAGTTTCATCCTTCCATAGATTTGTCACAGACCCTTCGGCTAATAAAAAGCAATAGAGGAAGCAACCTTAAAACTTGATGTGCCTGCACACAAGTTCTCGTGTAGGGTCGTATCAGCCACCCTCGCCAAGGATTATCGAACTCCTGACACCACTGATCAAGGTTTGAGAATTCCATTGTGCGTCTGAGGATTCATAGACTGCCATGTATCAATAAATAAAACACCCGGCAGGGCAGGGAAAAAACAAAACAAAGAGGAAGTGGGTTATAAATATTGCCGAGTGGGAGTGAAGGGACAACGGCTTTGTTCAACAAAGCCATGTTTCTCAACATCTTTTAAGGAAGTTCGAACATGCCGAAAAAGGTGCTTCCGTGGTCGAAATTCACCCTGGAGGAGTCTGTCACGTTCACAAAGAGTTCGTGGCCAGCTTGAAGTTCTACGGCTCTCCCGAGATGAATCGACTGGCGGTCGCACAGGTTGACCGAGCCCCCGTGGGTACCCACCCCTTTCAAGAGCAGCTGATCTAGCTCAAAAGGGAGGTTCAGGTACAGGTAAACACTGAAGGGGGTGTGCGGCGAAGGGTTCGGGCAAAAGGCCACCTGGGAGTAGACGTAGTACCGTCCGGCTTTGGCGACTTTGATTCTGCCGTCTTCAAAGGAAAACGTATCATCCAGGGAAGCGTAGGTCGCTTTTTTCCACTGTAAAACTGCAGATAAGAAGAGGATGATTATTTCATTCATTACTTTTCTGTCTCTTTTTTTTTGTCCTGTTAGCTCAAGGTGGCATACATGGTTCTCCTCCTCTCCCCCTCCTTCACAACAGCTCTGCGAGGGAGATCAGAGGGAGGTCCTGGGTCACCCAGTAAGGTCCATGGCTCACTTGGGTCTTCAGATAACATCCCCCAAATGCAAGCCAGCATTTAATGTTCAAATGGCGACACCATATAGATCAATGGTTCCCAAACTTGGGTCTCCCCAGATCTTCTCGGACTACAACTCCCAGAAGCCCTTACCACTAGTTGTGCTGGCCAGGATTTCTGGGAGCTGTAGTCCAAGAACATCTGGATACCCCAGGTTGGGAACCTCCAACAGGCACGTTTTATTCTTAGAACATTTTCAAGAACATCTGGAGACCCTAGGTTGGGAAGCTCTGACAGGTATGTTTTATTCTAAGAACATTTTTTTACCATTTGTTTGTTTGTTTATCCCCCACTAATGAGATGCACTATTCTCAGCAGTTTACAGCAGCCCAAAAAACACACAAACAATGAAATCAAACTAAAACACGCAGATCATAACTCGTCTGCTTAACAAGATCAACAGGGCATGCAACCTAATTCCATGGGAATATTTATTCCCATGCAAAGATACAACCACTCTGAAAACGGGAACTCCCCGTTCTATGTTCACGTTTCCCCTGTATTTACAATATATTTATATCCTATGCCATAACAACAACAATGACGATGTGGTTTATGGTAAAAAGGAGAATGCATAAAGTATATAAATAAGAGGAGTAGATGAAATCCGAAACAAAATGTACACAAATTTTGGGCACCTGCGTACGCAAAGTTCACATCGGTGCAACCTCCCCAAGAGGGACGCATCAGATTGTTTCGCACAGAAACTATGCTAAAGAAGGGGGTCATTGATGGAACAGGTCAAGGATCAACTCATGCAAGTGTCTTTTAAAGTTCCACATTCGCAGCATGGCCACCGAAAAGACTCCCTCTTCTGTACACAGGAACCACAGATGAAACGGTGGAAGCTTCCACCGTTGAAAATCAATAATAATAAATAATTATCATCTTAGCTCTGCAGTTCAGTCTCCAACAAAAATATTATTTTTCCCAAGCTTGCCAAAATGACTCCTTTTGGGGCCAACCTCCTGCCATCGAGCACGGTCAATTCTGAGGGATTCTGAGAGGGGTGAGCCAAAAAAAAGGAGCCTCGCCCAGCTGGGTCAGAGAACTTGTCCGCTCGTCCTCACCTACAGATGATCTCTCGTCATCGACATTCATGAGATCTCCTTCCTGACCATGGAGGTTCTACATGTGCAGTCACATGGCGCCTCATTGAGCTTCCCAACGAAACAAATTTCAAGAGTATAGTGGGCAGGATTTGACCTACAATCTGCATTAAAATATTCCTCCCATTTCAGCATTGAGGTTCATTCTTATGTGGGTTTTTTTTTAAAATAAATCAGTGGAAAGAATTGACCTCCTTGTTGTTTTCACCTCTAATCTCATGCTTTCCCTCACAGTGGCAGAGAACTGCAGAAGCCTGACAGCGCAGCTCACCTTTGCTGTTGCTTTGCTGTCCGGCCAGGTGAATGGTTGCTGACGGCCTCTTGGACCCTGAAATTTAAAAAAAAATTCTCATTTGCTTCCTCCATACATGTCTCATTCATTCACCAGGGAGAGGAAACAACCTTCTACTTCTACGGACTTCCACCCTAGCCCATCCATCCAATGCCAACGATGACAAGACCAGCCGCAGATCTTTAGAGCTTCCCGGAAGGGTTCTTTCCTAGCCCTACCTGCCCTTACTAGGGAGTCCCCTATCAGTCACCCTGGCCCTGCTTAGCTTCCCAAATCAGATGAGATAGATGTATTCAGGGTGGTATTGAACTGAGACCTTCCCTGGCCAATAGAATAGAATTGTTGGGATGGGAACTTGAGTCATGGGACTCGGTGACTCAACTCAGTGGGTTGTTTTTTTTTTCAGTGACTCGAACGTGACTCATGACTTGGAACCACCACCCCCCATCCTCCCTTTTTTTCTGGGGGGAAAAGCTTATTTTTAATAGGGACTTGGGAACGAAGACTTAGATTTGGACATGCCAACCTCCCTACTAGTCCTCATGTTTTGACCAAAGAGGTCACTTCCATTGGAGGGGGTTAGAAGCATCTTGTCTTACACCAAGTCAGATTGTTGGTCTGTCTGGGTCAGTCCTGTTCAACGGACCACCTTGGGACTCTCTAGCCTTTGAGATGGGACTCCTTCCCCCTCCAGGCTGGAGACACCATGGATGAAACCTGGGACCTTCTGTCTGCAAAGAAGGCACTCCACAACTATGGCAGTTCCTCAGATATGATAGAGGTTTCGTCTTGGCCTTTTGTGACCTCCAGCATGGAGACTCTGGCAGCCACACAGCTGCATTCAGGCCCAAGTCTCTGCATAATGCATGTCATGAGCAACTAGGCTCTCAGTAACACTGCGAGTCCGCGCAGGGCAGGGAACAGAGTGTCCAACTGGGACTTGGGCATGGAAAGGTGAACTGGAGGGACAGGAACATCTGCAGAGAAAAAGGGGGGGGAGTTGCACTAGAAATGGTGGAGTATAAAGCAATGTAACGTCTTCCAAGCTCCATCTCCTTCCAGAGAGTGTGGTCTTGGAAATGCACTCATTGCACATCAAAGAACAAAGGAGGCAAAAAAGTTCCAAGCTTATTTGGCCAGATTCTCCTGGGTGTGTGTGTGTGTGTGGTTTTGAGGACATCGGCAGGCAATTCAAAAAAGGTAGCTTTCCAAGCACTAGATCCGTGGCTCCCAACCTTGGTTCTCCCCAGATGTTCTTGGACTACAACTCCCAGAAGCCTTCGCCACTCCCTGCGCTGGCCTGGATTTCCGGGAGTTGCAGCCCAAGGTCATGTGGGGACCCAAGTTTGGGCACCCCAGCCTCAGGTGAACTGCATTGTCTGTGCAGCTTATTCCAACCTCCCCTAACAAAGGTGGGCCATCACAGCCCTTTGAATGACAGTTCAGAGCCTGTCATTCCCATAATCCCTTGCTACTGGCCATGTTGACTAGGGCTGCTGGGAGGGACAGTCTAACAGCATCTTTCCACTGGGTTTGCATGGACCCTTTCCTACGAGACAGCAAGCATTTACCTTTCTGCAAAGCCATGGTGCCCTCCTGGGGAACCTAGAACAAACGGAGAGAGAGAGAGAGAAAGATGGTCGTTACTAATGGTGACCAAAAGTATGCAAAGCCATGCCAGCAAGAGTTTCAAACATGGGGTGTTTGGAGATTCTTTTGATTACGTCACCCAGAGTTACAATGGGAAGCACAGGCAAGCTCAGGTTTTTACTTTGCTCACTTCCAGTCTAGGTACCTTCACATTTCTTCTTCCTCTTTAACACAGCACTCGCCATCTGCAATAGTCTAAAATTGATCCCGCTGTACATCTGCAGGTGATCTATCTTTGGGTGCAATTAGACTAGCATTTGCTCTTCTGTTTGGTCCAGGTTGAGGACAGGTTGGTTTGCTCCCTTTTCTGGAAACCACACCATGTACATGCCATGGCAAACCAGCCTGCTCTGATCCATGCCTACTTGTTCCTTTTATTATTATTCCTACCAGGGTCTATGTGTTCTTTTGCTATTGGCAAAATTGCTCTGTTTTGGTATAGTTCCAACATGCATGATCACTAGTATTGAACCAAAGAGGCTGGCTAGCTGTTCCTTTGCTAAAGCTGCGTAACCCTCTTGAGAAACAGAAAGCTTCTTTGCTGCTTATCCTTGGAGGGGAAGGGAGAGGGAGTGTTCCCTTTCTTTTTCATTGTTGCTAAAACAAATCAGAGGTACTCGGGAAGAGCCTTTCCTTTTAAAGGCTTTTCAAAGCACCGCTGATAGGCTACATTAGCAAAATGAAAAACTTCCTCTCCTTTCCCTCTGCAGGTGGGCAGTAAGGTAGTTTTCCATTTCTCAAGATCTTTAAGCAGCTTATGCGAGGCATGAAGAAAGAGAACATTTTTGTGTTTTCCTTTTCTTTCCTTTTAAAGCGAAAGAATATGGGGCTAGATCATGTTAAACAGGATGGCTTGAACAGTGGTGTGGCTGATCACTGAATGTGGATACCAAAGATCACCCCAAACAGCATACTGTACCCCAAAATCTCCCTGTTTAGCACAACTTAGACTGATTGAGGCTGAGGTAAGTTAGCCATCTAGTTAAACCATCTTTACTGGGGATGGGGAGGGAGAAAATTTATTGCAAGATAATGGTCATGCATCAGTAGTTACTCCAAGCTCAGCAAACAAGTTCTTGTTTCCTACATCAACAAACTACTTGCAAGCTGTGTTTTCCTCGCGCTTTCCCTTTCTCCCACGGGCCTCAAAGGCTCTTTCTTAAAGGCCATTTGCAGCAAGCTTACTGCTTACAAAGCAGAGTTTTGAAAAAAGAAAAGTGCTTCTGTCATTCTTGGTTTTGCATCAGTAAAATGCCGGGAAGAGGAAAGGGTGTATTTAGCAACGACTACAAGAATGACTCTCAAGGTGTGAATAAAAAAGCAGGGTGTGAAAAACGCAAATGCCATATTTTAAGCAGCAAATGCAAACTCACCCTGTCCTCAGTTGTTCCCTATTCTACAAGAGTTGCCAACTTTTTTCTTTTCTAGGGCTCCTGTGTTTTCACCCCAAGACCTCTCTGGGTGGCATAAGGTGGCGGTGGGGGTGGTTTTCCCAAATGGATCTATCCCCACCACTTCCTTTTCAAGCCAACGAAAGCCAGTCTTCCTGGCAGGGTACCCTCCTGCAAATCTACCCAAAATCTAAGCAGCACCATTGATTTCAAGGCGACTTATTCCCAGTTCACGACACATCAAATCGCAAGTAAAATTTTCACAAACGAAGAACACGCAGGAACAATGTAGGCTGGGGGGGGGAGTTGAGAAGACATAGCATCAGCATTCACTTGGTTGGTGACGAGAGAAAGACAAAAAAAATAAAAATTCTTCTCTTCAACAGAGCAAGCTTGTCTAAAGCGTGGAGAGTAAAACTAATCTGGGGCTACGGTGAAGTATGAAACTAAAACGCCCCTTCTTTCTTCTCTTTCATATCCGTATCGGAACTGTTCATGGCTAAATAATGTTTTTGAAAAAGAAATACAGTAGTTCCAGAACTAGAGTCCCAGAAGCAGATTTCGAAGATTCCCACCCCACCCACTCAAGAATTTTGAGGAAAAAGCTGTTTTTAGAGAGACTAAAACCAGTACAGTTTGGATACAAAAATCTGGCCAGTCCCGATCTCGTGCACAACCAACTGTAACCAACTACAGCAGAATTTTTCCCCACATGGATAAGCCTTCAAGGTACACTTCAGTGTATTAAATATCTTCTGTACTGTATTTCTTTTTTTTAAGTTTTAACTTTTAATGATCAGTATAAGTCTATTGCTTACTTTTTTATATTATTGTGATGCTTACATTGTTATTAGTTAACATTGTTATTGTATTATTTTGTCGTGTACCGCCCAGAGTAGCCTTGTAGCTAGATGGATGTATACAAATCAAATCAATCAATCAATCAATGAAATGCAATGGGTAGTCACTACATTGCTTTCTTGGTACAAGGTGATATCAATCAATCAATCAATCAATCGATCAATGCAATGGGTAGTCACCACATTGCTTTCTTGATACAAGGTGAGTTATCTTCTATTTACTTTCAAAAATATGTAATTTTCAAAGGGAAAATTAAAAGCTGGTATTTCCACAGTACTGTATTATGCCATCTTGTTATCAGTCCTGACTCTTAAGTGGCAAAGGATATATATTTTGTCCCATCTTTCATCTTTTTTGTATTTTCAAGGCGCAGTATCAGAACTAGCCACTAGAGGGAACTATACTTCTGAGGAACTTCATCATAATACAGTAATTGTGTTCCTTCAAGTAGTTTCTGATTTATGGCGACCCTTTTCAGGGCGAGAGCGCTCAGAAGTAGCTTACCCAGGCTGGCTCTTCTTGCAGGAGGCAGAGTGCAGAATCAAACTCCCAACCTCTGGCTCTGCGGCCAGAGACCTAACTCGCTGAGCTATCCTGCTAGCATTTCTGAGGAACACGGCCTCCCTTAAAGAATACTTTACACAGCATGCTGCCCATGAATACGCCCACTTGACAGATCCTTGCCATCCTTTTACCTTGGTGGTCAGATCCCGCAGGTCCTGGAACGTTCTTAAAATCTTTGTGCAATCCAGGAAAGTCAGGCCGTCCCCATCTTGTGGCTTCTGACACTTCTGCAGCTTTCTGAGAAACACGATGTCTTCTCCTAAATTCATTTCGTCTCCCAACTGAAACAGAACAAGGAAGGAAAGTCAATGGGTCACCTTAAGCATCAGAACTAAGTGCCGAAAAGCCAACACGGTGCAGGAGGTGGGGGTGTCAGAATAAGACCTGGGTTCAAATCCTTGCCCGGCTGTGGAAGGTCACAGGGAGAGTGGCAGGGATGAAATGTTCTTTGAACACTTCGTGTAGCTCAAAAGCCCTCCTAAAGTTGCCTTCCCTCAAGGGTGACCAGACACCCAGAACAAGAAGAGGCGTAATGAGGACTGAAGTGCTTAACTGGCTGGCTAAGAGCTGGCACTACAATTCCCATGATCCCCCGAAAGAAAAGAAAGAAAGAAAGAAAGAAAGAAAGAAAGAAAGAAAGAAAGACTTGTGGTCTGTGTGTAAAATCCAAAATTGGGCGCACTAGAAACTGCATTAAAAAGTGACTTTTTGACTCCTCGTCAGGCGGTACATTGCACAGCTAAGGTCGTGGGGGCAGGAGGGAAGAGATAAATCCAAAATCATCGTAGCCCCAGATTCTAGATTGATCATTAAAATTAAGTCCGAAAGAAAGAAAGAAAGAAAGACTTGTGGTCTGTGTGTAAAATCCAAAATTGGGCGCACTAGAAACTGCATTAAAAAGTGACTTTTTGACTCCTCGTCAGGCGGTACATTGCACAGCTAAGGTCGTGGGGGCAGGAGGGAAGAGATAAATCCAAAATCATCGTAGCCCCAGATTCTAGATTGATCATTAAAATTAAGTCCGAAGGCTGCCAACGTGAACCAATCTTAAACCACCTCCCTGATGCATTCAGCAAGGCCTTTTATAAAATAGAGGCAGATTTTTTTTTTAACGCCAATCCCTAGAGAAAAGGGCGAACAACTGACACCATCTTAGGAGAAGGCGTTCCTCCTTTGCTCTCATCAAAAACCTTCTCCAAAATGGCCTCTATCCAAAACCAAGGAAGCGTGCTTCTCCCTTCAAAAGTGTTGCTGCTCCCCTGGGTCATGTATGCAAAGTGATTTATAAAATAGAGGCAGATTTTTTTTTTAACGCCAATCCCTAGAGAAAAGGGCGAACAACTGACACCATCTTAGGAGAAGGCGTTCCTCCTTTGCTCTCATCAAAAACCTTCTCCAAAATGGCCTCTATCCAAAACCAAGGAAGCGTGCTTCTCCCTTCAAAAGTCTTGCTGCTCCCCTGGGTCATTTATACAAAGTGAATCATCATCATCATTATCACCATCATCATCCCCCATCATGTTCCGTCAAGCCAATTCTGACTTAGGTGACCTTTTTCAGGGTTTCTCGAGTAGAATACTTGGAAGTGAATCAAACACCTTAATCTGATGAAATTATTCCTATTAATTGGCCACAATGAGGCGACAACCCTAATCCAATCTAAAAAGTTCATAATTAATAATAAATTAACATTTTACTGCTTGAGTGCTTCACCGTTTCTGCACATCATCCTGCTGCTGGTTTCATTTGCTTCTATGTACTGAAATGCTTCATTCTGCGCTGTTCGGTTAACGTTCTTACATCCCACCTCGCAAGTTTTAGAGTTTAGCAGAGTTCTTCAAGCTGTTTCTAAATTATTATATTTTTTTTTCATTTTTTGCCTAGCTCCTGAAGAAGGCCACTGCCGAAAGGCATCAAGACTAAGGATTTTAGATAAGAATATGTGCATTGCTATCTTTTTTATACATCTTGAGACACAGTCTCCCGTTGGTACTTTAGCCACCAGTTCCCTCTACTTTGTTCCAAAAATTATCCTAACCAGATGCTGCAGGATTAGGCCCTGTGGTTAAAACAAAGTCACCAGAATAGAGACACCAAAGTGGGTCATCCATCTCAGATTTTTTCTCCCACGCTATGATGGATTGATTCTCCTCATCTCGACATTAACTTGTGTAATGCCCCCTTAGGTCCTTTCAGGGAGAACGGTGGGATAGAAATATTTTAAATAAATAAATAAATTTAAATAATACCTGAACTGAGGACCTCGTCAGAGCGAAAGGTAACAGAAAGCCTTTATTTCTGAAGTTCTGAAACAGTCAGCCTGAGCAAGCGTCATTTTGGATTCAAAAGCTGACCCAGTTTTAATATTGGTCCAAGAAACTTATTACCTATCCTTGTTTTTTTTTTGTTTTTTTTTTAGTTTTTTGCATAAAGACAAAGCTGCCTTTTTCTTTTGATTTCTGTTTTTGCTACTGTATGTTATATTTCTGGCAGAACATAGATGGCCCAGACAACGCCGCTGGCTGGTTCTAACCTATGAAGCAGAAGTCAAAATGAGGTCTCAGGATGTAGAAAGATGCAAATAATCTTTATTCTGGTTTAAAAATCCTAGATTATGCTGTGAAAAGACAAATGCATATTCATTGATGCAGTATCGTCTTTATGGATATAAAAATGAGTAGTAGTTATAGACAGGTACAGTGACCTGAGATTTTTGTTTACAGACTAACTTGTTTTAAATTTTATGTTATATATTGTATACCATATTATATTATTATGTAGTATATTACTATACTAGATTATATACTATATGCATATACTTATATAGCTCTTGAAAAAGACCACGTGCTGGAACACATTAAGCATTTTTCAATCAGAACAAAGATTATTTACGCTTTTCTGCATCTTGAGATGTGGTCTCTCATTTTGACTTTTGCTATCATTGTTAGTTCCCTTAGTTTCTCCTCTAACCTATAAAACCCTAAATGGTATTGGTTCAAGCTATCTCAAGTATCGCGTCTCCCATTATGATTCTGCTTGGGTGTTAGGATGATTAGGAGATTATCTTGGTCCGACCACCTTCCAAGGTGCATCTGGTGGGGGGGGCACAGGCGAGCACTTTCTCTATCGCTGCTCCCAGACTTTGGAACTCCCTCCCACTGGAGGCCCGCCTGGCCCCATCTTTGCTGTCCTTCCGCGAGCAGGCCAAGACCTTTCTCTTCAGGCAAAGCTTTCCCTGAGTGAATGAACTGCCTGAGTGTGATTTTTAAATGGATTGCTCTGCCTTACTGCTTTGAGTGTGTCTTGATCGATTTAATGGCCTTTCCAACTCAATTATTCTATGCTTACCATCTTTTAGTGTAGTATTTGTTTCATCTTTTTTAGTATTTGTATACGTACTGTTTTTAGTTTTAGATACTGCCTTTTAATGATGTAAGCCATCTTGGTCCTTCTTAAGAAGAAAGGTGGGGGAAAATATTTTAATAATAATAATAATAATACAATAGTAACAACAATCGCAACAACTCCAGTTGATGGGCATTTTTAAAAGACAGTCAACAAATAAGCAAGTCACTTTGACCTTTGAGAAAACATGGGAGATGGCTTTCTATAAATAGAGTAAATAACTAAATAAATAAATGTGGTTTTACAGACAGAGCAACGTCTCGACACCCACTCATCCAACATTTAACAGGGTGTTGCTGTTATTGTTATTGTTGTTGCTATCTTGCTAACAGTAATGAGGAAGATGAGTAAAACCCACCTCCTCTTCAGAACCTCTGTACAAACGTAAGATGATTCACCACAAGTAAGCGGCAATGGCCATAATCCATAAAAATTAGACTTACTTTCCCTCCTGACCCCTCCCAAGCTGGCTGCATTATTTGTCTTATTTGTTTATTTAAAATATTTTCACCCCTCCTTTCTCCTTGAAAAGGACCCAAGGCGGCTTACATCCTTGACACACAATATTTAAAGCTAAGAGCTATGAGTATAAGGAGGCAGATTATGTCATTAAAAGACAGAGGTAAAACAATAAGTATGCAAATACTGAAAAGGAATAAGCAAATACCACTCTGACAGATGGTAAATGCAGGTAGGACTAAAGACACAGTCAGAGCAGCAACGCATAAGAATCCATCTGAAAGTCACTCACAGAGCCACTCACTGAGAGAAAGCTTTCCTGGAGAGAAAGGTCTTGGACTACTTTTGGAAGGACAGCAAAGATGGGGCCAGGCGGGCCTCCAGTGGGAGGGAGTTCCAAAGTCTAGGAACAGCCACAGAGAAGGCCCTCTCCTGGGTCCCCACCAAGCAGATCTGTGAAGGTGGTGGGAAGGAGAGAAAGGCCTTTAACACCTGAGCCACCTCATAGTGGGAGACATGGTCTTTTAAATAGTCCTACTTCAGAGAAACCCACTGAAATCAGAAGGACCGCAAAGAAAATCCAGGCCTAAATGTAGGCAATTTCACCTGTCCTCGTAAGAGTGGCACAGTCTAAGTCTCCCAATGATTACACCCAGTTAAGCATATTTAATTCTAGACATTGCAGCTTAGCATCCAGAGACACCGTTGACCACCAAGAGACGGGATGGCCGTTGATGTTTTTATTTTGCCCCATCTCCACAGAGATCCGTCCGACTTCATAGCCACCACTCGGATGCACATGACGCTGAAAGTTACTCATGAGCCTCCTATGGCAAGGCATGGACCGACTCAAAAGGGGAAGTGGGGAGCTTCCAGTCTTGAAGGTCAAAGGTGCGGACCGGGGGCTCCGGCCAACGTCTCTCAGCTTCCCCTGATGGCTACACCACCTATCACATGAAGCAATCCTTTTCTGGCTTCCCAAATTCGTTCTATTTCCCCCTCATTCTGAAAGGTTGAGCCGCCGCCTCAGAGGATGAGGAACTGGCAGCAAGAGCTTTCAGTAAAAATATGCTGGCTTGGGGTATGGGTGGGGTATGACCCATTATTTTGCCTGCGTCCCTGAGATCATTTCTGCAGCTGAGGGCACAACGACACGGCTGAATTAAATTGGAAGCCGGTTCGGGTTTATTGGAAATAATCGATAGAACGCCACGTGGTTTTGTGCCAGCTTGCGCACCCTCATGGAAGCTGGCTTTCTCCATCCAAAAGGGATTCAGTGGAGGCAAGGGGTTTGCAGTCCTTCATTTTGGCAAAGGAGAGTTTCCAGAAAGTGGCCTCAATCCAGGGAGGAGAGCATTGCAGAACAGGGTCAGCGCAAGACACGAAATCGCCCACACTCCATGCCAGAGGAGGCAACTTCAGGCTCCTTTTGCCAAGTTCACCGGAAGAGGTCAAGGAAGCAAGAATTGTGAGTTTTAGCGCAACTGCGGGGGCGACAGCGGTTCAGCCTGTCCTCAGTCTCCTTGCAATTTGAATACATTTTTATATGCATGTATAGAGATGGTTTTACCAGCGTAGCGCTAAATCGATGCAGACTCGCATAGCGCTAAATCGATGCAGAGCTATGTAAAACAGAAATGGATAGGGGGAAAGGGTAACAGTTCGGACTGCAGGACATCCTGCAAGTTATCCTTGCAGTCCAAAACCCATAGCACCTAAAGTGCACTCAGTTGTATATTATGTATTTAGACATTTTAAAATTGATTTCAAGTGTGGTATACCCAGCGCAAAAACAGGAATATTACAATGTGTAGCTGAGCCCAGTGTTGAAAGAGGTTCTGCACCTTTGCTCACAAGAGTTGCATCTTAAAGCAGTTAACCATGGATTAGACCCCGCATTTAATCTTTGATGTGGTACCCAGCTTTTAGCATGAGATGTAAGGTTTGAGAAGAAGAAATGCAATGATGTTGAATTCAACCAGAATGTCTGAAATGTTCTTTCTTCCCATTTCATGTTCATTTTTTGGGCTCCCAGTTCTTGGCCATGGCATCTTCATCCCCAAATGAAAACTAATTTCAGCTCCAAAGTACATTCCCTAAAGAAACATGATCTGTGGTTCCCCCCCACCCCCCGCAAAGGACCAAAGATGTTTACTCCATGACACACAGAGAGAGAGAGGAAACGATTCCATTTCTATTCTCTTGATGAGCAAGCCTGGCCCTGAGGTTTGCAGACTTTAAGCTTTGCAGGACAAACTTTTCAGTTTCTCGCTGGAAGCCTGAAACACGCTCTCAAAATCCTGATGCACAACGAGATTAAAGGATTCAGAGTCCAGGGTGGGTATTGAAACAAGAAGCCCTCCCCAGGTTGCCCTAAACCGTCTTTAACAGTGTAGTTTAGGGTATCCAGATGAACTGCAATGTTTGATCCAGTGGTCGCTAAGCTTCCAGAAGCCCTGATCACGCAAATCACCTTACCCAAGGCATGCCTATTTTTCTTTGCTTGCTTCTCCCTGTAGACTTTCGTCATGGGTAAGGTTTCCTAAACCCCAGATAAACAGCCATCAACAAATTTGCCTGTGGTTGACCCCATTATTATTATTTCTCTCTCTCCCCCCCCCCTCACTTCACCATAATCTCTGATCAGGGAGTTCACGAATGTTTATGAGGAGCAAAATTGCTGGGAAATCCATTTAAGGAAAAAGTTTGTGGCCCAACTGATGCCGTCGTTATGTCATGGGAGGGGAGAGAGAGAAATTTCCTCTCTCTGATCAGAACGAGACACCAAGAGTCACCAAGGGGGTCAACCTGTCCCATCTACAGATTGTCCTGCTGCTTTCAGGCATGGCTGATGCTCCTGTTGATGTTCCACAGCTGATACTTACAACAATTCCGTAGCATTTCATGGCTTGACCCTATGAAATTCTACAGTTAGCTAAGGAAACTTAGAATTCTCCCGTGCTCTTCTCCTAGACCACAAACCCTCGAGGTCTCTAGCGGAGAATTTCAAGTGTGCTAACAAACCAGAATCTTGATGATTAAAGTGTTATCGGATAGCTAGAATTGTGTCTAGTGCAGATAACACTCTGGAAGTCCATTCATTTCTGTATTAAGAATAGCCGATGGGGGACGCTCCCTTTTGCCTCCTGTCTTGGGCCAGTTCTGTGGAACGCTCACCCCATCACGGACGAAAGGTGAGGAGGATCCATAGAATGACAGACCCCATTCCTTTTATGGCCCCTCACGGGGATAAAACAATGGAGTTGGCCAACGTGTCCTCCCGCCCATGAGAGTCCTTCCTTTGCTGCTCTCCAGGCAAAAACTTTCCTGGTGAAAACAACCCGCCCCAGGTCCCCTCTTACCTTGTCCAGCTTCATATGAAGGTACAAGCCAAACAGGAAAGTCCCCACCAGCTGGGTGATCACAAAGGCCGTGATCAGGCTCAGAAAGGCCTTCATGGTGACCGTCAGGCCAGCGGTTCGAGGGGTGCTCGAAGAATACGGTTCACCAGAGGAGTCCATAAGCTTGTGTCTTCCAGCCTCTGGTGGGTGTGAGGAGCATGAACACCTCCTCAGCTCACTCCTCAAGATAGCAAAGAAAAAAGGAGGCAGAGCTTATGCCTGCCCACAGCTTCCTGGGGAAAAACTCATCTTCCATTGTGGCGAAGTTGTTCACACACATCTCCCACAACAACAGCAAAAACAAATGCCATTGTTTGAACTCAGCACTTGCACTTTAGCTTGGTCTTGAAGTCATTGGTATGCTCCTCTTCCATTGAGTTCATTCTTCTTCCTCCATCTTTTTTCTTTTTCATTTTCTTTTCTTTCTTCTTCTTTTTTCCTATCATGCACACACACCCTTTCTACTTCCTACTTGAACAAAAGGAAGGATCCATGACAAACATCATTTCTGAAATTTCATCACGGGAAAACAGACAGCGAGCACATCTATCTACACTATATAGTTACAGCCGGTTGATGCCACTTCATCGGCCATGGGAGGGCCATCCTAGATGATCCGGGGAGTTGTAGTTTGGGGTCCCGCTTACAAGTAACTGCTAGAGAGCTTTCAAGCTGACCCACAAACACCAGCTTCTAAGGCTCCTTGAGAAGGCAGATGGAAGCTTAGACAAATTTAGTTTTGTAATGAGGGCTGTCTAAGAACTGTTGGACCCCAACATTTCTTAGAAGGAAGATATGAAAGTTAAAACAGTACGAAATTACTATAGTTATCAAATGTGGATAATTATCTAAAGCTCTGCCTTAATGATATTCACAAGATGGAAAAAAACACCTGAATCAACCAGTGTTCAAATTGGATCAGTTCTTTATCTTAATAGTACTTTTTAATCAATGAAAGGGGACGAATTGAGATCTAGAGCTCTCTACGTGTTTTCTGTTTCCTCTTGCACAAATAGGTTCAGCGTTAACTTCTCTGTGGTCTTCAAGGACTTCACAAACTGTTCCTCCAGGAAAGATGCTGTACCTTCAGGTAGGAGGAGTCTTCACGCTTCCAGAATTCATTTTGAGGGGTGGCTTCCATCCTCTAGTGGTTCCTAAACTTGGTTTCCAGAAATCTTGGCCAGCACAGCTGGTGGTGAAGGTTTCTAAGAGTTTTAGCCCAAGAACAACATTCGCCTCATGTATACACTTTTGCAAGCTCTCCCCCAGCCCCGCCATCCATAAAATACTTCTCAACCAATAGCTTTTCCTTCACATTTGATCTTTAGTGGTTCGGATAAATGTCTTTTTTTCTCTCTCAACTTTTCTTTTTCAGCAGGCTTCTCTAGGGTTAAACCGTGCTGCTTCCCCTGTGAAATCTTATAGCCAAAGCTGGCAACATCTCAAGGGTGGAAAAAAAAATTGAGATTGGTATCAAAGCTTCTTTAACGTTAAGAAGAAGAAGAAGCTTTGCCACAACCTAAATCATTTTGTATTGCAGGAGATGGCAAATGCTGATAGACTGTGTTACAAATATTTTCCATCAATAGTGTGCAATTTGCCAAAACAGGTCATTTACCTCCAGCCCCTTCCAAACACGAGGACAACAAAATTTGCTTTTCTGGTTTCCGTGTGCAACCTTGTAACCAGTGGCCAAGCTGGCTATACAATCCGTGAAGTTTTAGTCCCACAAAAGCCATTTTCCCCTGACATTCATACATGCACATGAGCATGAGAGTTACATACTGTATACCTTTCCACTAACATCAGAGTTCAAGGCAGCTAATAATAAAATACCAAAGTAACACTGCGGCAACAAGGAAATTGTAACACAAAACTGAAGTTAGGAAACTGGAACCTAAAACTAGAGGTTGTGGACGTAATTAAGAAAGGGAAAATCTGTACTACACACATACAGAGTCCTGATGTTGAACAAAACATTTAGCAAAGAACAGGTTTTTGTGAAGGGAACAGCACCTTAAAAGAAAGGAAAGCAAAATGTTCTACTCGTATACCACCCCATAGTGCTTAAATCTTTCTCAATAAGTTTGACAATTTAATTATGCAGGCTACGTATACATTGCCTTCCTCCTGCCCCGAAAAAGTGCGCTGCTCAATTTACCAACCTCGGAAGGATGGAGAGCTCAGCCAGCCACCTGGATCCAGGATCAAACGCAGGTGGTGAGCAGAGTCTTCACCGCAGTACTGCAGTTTAACCACTGCCCCATGAGGCTCCTTAGAAAGAGGGGTTGTGGTTGAAAAAAGAAATAATTTATTTGTTTATTTGTCAAGAATAAAGGGTTCCTTGTCATGTCTCTGCTAGACTGGAGCAGGAAACATGGCTAGATGCTACCAGACAATGAAATATCACAATCCTGCACTTCTGGAATTCCCAGGCTCCTACTGTAGTTTTTGGTTGCTGACGTCCGACCTTGTTCTCTTGTTGGATTTTTCTATTGGATACCCACACTTCCGTGGTCCAAGGGCCAAGTGATAAGGCAGGCCGTCGTTAGTCACAGAAATCCATTGGTGTTCGAGAAGTGTAGTTCAGACAGACCTTCACACTTGAACCATCACCCTTCCCAACCTAGCTTGTGATGTCTGGTCAGAAACGGAGGATGTCCATTTGACAGGCATCGGAGGGACGAGCATTTCCTGTCGTGATCATTGGATATCTTTCCATAATTGAAAAAAAATTCTTTCTTCTAATGACAAGTCATCAGTTTGGACGTCACTCTCCCTCCCGTGAGACTGTGTTTAGTTTGACTGTGTCGGTTACCTGGATGCTGACTTTGGATGCTGCTTTTGACCAGCCAGCGGACGATATGAGGGCTTACTGCCATCGGTCGTGACATGACCTTGCACTCGCTGTTATTCAGCTAGAATCCAGACCGAAACAGAGCAATTGTATAAACATTTCCCAGGCTAAATCCTGTGTTTTCAGCAGGGCTCATTCATAGGTAGGTCTTAAAGGATTCCACTAGAAATTAGATCTCTCTGATATTCCCAGCCATTAAAGCTCTAATCCATTCCACTTATGGAGACATTTCATCTAAGGGGCAGTTTATAGCTTTCTGTTAATGTCTGCTTACAGGCATTTCTGAAAATATGCCCAATTTCTGGGCCCATTTCACCATGTTTTGTTTATTATTATTTTTGAATACCATGCCCTTTAAGTTCCATGGTTCCATTTTCATGTCGCTTTACAGATGAAAGTCAAAACAATCAGTATAGTAAATTTTTTGTTCCCTGAACATAGTTGCGTGTTTTTGTTTTTTTTTTGTATCATGAACTTACTCACTGGATTGCAAAATAAGTTTATAGAACATTTTTCTACATAACCAGACCATTTCTTTATTTGTCCAGAACCTCGATTTTAAAAATAAACTTCAAGAAGAAGTTACGCATTTTGGAATGACTAAAAGCAGCAAGGCATGATAAATGAAAGTCTTCAACAGGTCTAGCAACTTTTTTAAAAGACAGAGTTTTTTTTTAAAGCTGTTTCAGAAGCAGTATATTCCTACATATTCACCCATCAGTAAGCAGCTATATTTGAGGCTAACTGAAGTTTGGAAGGCTCCAGTCCTTTGGCCATCTCATGAGAAGAGAAGACTCCTTGGAAAAGACGCTGATGTTGGGAAAGCGTGAAGGCAAGAGGAGAAGGGGACGACAGAGGATGAGATGGCTGGACAGTGTCATCGAAGCGACCAAGATGAATCTGACCCAACTCCGGGAGGCAGCAGAAGACGGGAGGGCCTGGCGTGCTCTGGTCCATGGGGTCACAAAGAGTCGGACATGACTAAATGACTAAACGAAGTTTGGAAGAAGTCTACAAGGGCTGCCCCACACTATGTACCCTTACCATCAGTCTAACTGGTACGTTAGTGACAGTGTCCTTCATCTGGAGAAATCTCCTTATTTGCCAGTCAAGGGAAGTGGTCAATTGAGGAAAGAAGACTAAGGGTAAATATAATAGCACTTTTAAAATACTTCAAAGGTAGTCATTCAGAAGAGGAACAGAATCAATTCTTGATCATCCCAGACTGCAAGACACGAAATAATGGGCTCAAGCTACAGGAAGGCAGATTTTTTACTGAATATCAGGGGGAAAAACTCCCTAATGGTTAGAGCAGTACGGCAATGGGACCAGTTATCTTGAGAGCTGGTGAGCGCTCCAACGCTGAAGCCATCCAAGAGTAAATTGGACAGCCATCTGTCCGATCTGCTTTGACTGGGATTCCTTCCTTGAGCAGGGGGTTGGACTGGATGGCCTCATAGGCCCCTTCCAACTCAGCCATTCTATGATTCTATCATTCTAAGTTATAAGCTGCCCATGAACCCGATGACCAAAACCAACCAAAAGATTCCCCAAAGCGTCAGTTAGCATAACTTCAGCTGAGTCAAGGTTGGGTGGTTTTTAAAGGTGTGTAACCACAGCTGAAGGTATTTACGTAACGGAGCTGAGGTTTGACATCTGGAGGCTCATAAACCTATGAGGGCACGGCTGTTTGCTGAGTAACGATGCCATCTGGCTGCTTCTCTGGACCATATAGAAACAGAATTTCTGGTAACTGTTCCCCAATTTATTGGAGATACCTGAGTAAAGCAAAAGTCGCTTCCTCTTGAGTCACCTTAGAAAATCAAGTCAGAAGCTATCAGAGAATGAAATCTGGAATTTCAGCATAAAGAAACGAGAGATCAAAGAGAAAAGAGAAAAATGCAAGATTTTTCCAAAGTGAATCAGTGTTCAGTCCCACCGAAGCTCATCGGCAGAGTGTGTATTTTTAGTGCTGCCATCATCTGATTATGATTGACTGTTACTTCAGTTTAGGCAACCCGTGTGCCATACAAAACCCACAGATTTTTAGATACTTCTCACCCTGTGGGTGTGCATTTTTCACAAACACCGGCTGGTGAAAGAATCCGTTCCGTTATGTCCTCATATCCATTTACTCCCCTTGTGTTTACTAAAGTTGTCCATTTTGTTTTGTTGGTTCCTAAGGTGTCTTTCTCCTGAAAGTTCCATCTGACTAATCCCATAACTGGGTAAAAATCTTTCCATACCTCGCTACGAGCCCTATCACTTTTAGACATTGGTTGTTCAGATCCAAAATGGCATAAAACTCTACATATAGACACAAGTTCCCCCCATTCACTTCTATCGTCAAGGTTGGTAAACTTATAGAACTTCTCAAGGAGGCAAACGAGACACCGCCAAGCTGGACCCCTGGTTCTACGGCCTTTCGTTCCCTG